CACACACACACACTTTCTCTCTCTCTCTCTCACACACACACACACACTTTCTCTCTCTCTCTCTCTCACACACACACACACACGCACACACACACACACACACGCACACACACACACTTTCTCTCTCTCTCTCTCTCTCACACACACACACACACACACACACTTTCTCTCTCTCTCTCTCTCTCACACACACACACACACGCACACACACACACACACACACACACACACACACGCACACACCACAGCATCTGTCTACCACTCCACAGGTCCTCGTGTGTTCCACAAGGAATCCAGGAATCCTGAACTAATCATGCAGGAGCTAGCCGTGTGGTTTGTAAGGAGAAAAGGTTCATGGGGAAAGCTAAAGTCACTCCTGACCATCCAGAGACTGGAAGTTAACTAAGAACAACTGCAGTACCAGGCGGTGGAGCCGCACACCTTTAATCCCAGTACTCAGGAGGCAGACACAGGCGGATCTCTGTGAGTGCGAGGCCAGCCTGGCCTACAGAGCAAGTTCCAGGACAGCAAGGACTACACAAAGAAACCCTGTCTTGAAAAACCAAAAATAAGCACGGTGTAGGAGAATCGTCTGTATTCTGTCAATCATGTTTTAAATAAATGCTGATTGGCCAGGCAGGAAGTATAGGTGAGTAAAACAGATAGGAAGTAGAACAGGAGAATGCTGGGAAGGAGGAAGCCCATTCTTCACAGTCCAGCCCAGACCACCGAAGAAGCAACATGTGAGCTGCCCAGCTAGAAAAGGTACTGAGCCATTTGGCTAGCATAGATAAGAACAATGGGTTAATATAAGTGATAAGAGGTAATAAGAAGCCTGAGCTAATGAGCCAATCAGTTCATAATCTTATGGAGACCTCTGTGTGATTTTCTTTGGGGCTTGCTGGTTGTGGGGTACTGGGAAGGACGGAAATCCCCACAGCGGCCCTCATGTTACATAAGCAAAAACAACAACTTTGGTTACCTCTTGGTAGCTTTGGGACAGAGAGCTCATACAGGGGTTAACTAGACTTGAGACACCTGCAAGGTCAGGAGACAGTGTCACCAGCTCTATGGCTTACAGGTCAATAAGTACAAACTAGAGTCAGAGATGGAAGAGGAGAGCCTTCAGCCCTCTAACTGGACTGGCACTGCAGGCAATCTCTCTGATTGGACCAGGAGCTCGGGCAACAGAATATGGAGCTCTCTAATTGACTGACTAAAATGTAATTGCCTCAGTCTCTGCCCAGTTTCTGCCAGGAGTCCTATAAAAAACCTCCAGACAGGGCTGGAGAGATGATTCAGTGGTTAAGAGCACTGGCTGCTCTTTCAGAGCTCCTGAGTTCAATTCCCAACAACCACATTGTGGCTCACAACCATCTGTTGAGATCTGGTGTCCTCTTCTGGCCTTCAGATAGGATGCTGTACACAAAATAAATCAATCTTTAAAATCAAACAAAAAAAAAACCTTCCAGACAAAAGAAGTTCAATGTCTTTTCCTCTCTGGGAACCCCACTCACTCTTCGGGTGGGGAGGGCTATCTTTCACTTTTCCCTAATTTCTCTTAACAAAACCTGCTTCCACTTTGCTGCTCCCACAAGTTATCCAAATCTCCTAATCTCTCATATTCTCTGGCATAAAGAAACAAACCAAGATGCCTGGCGGTGGTGGCACATGCCTTTAATCCCAGCACTCAGGAGGCAGGGGTAGGCAGATCTCTGTGAGTTTGAGGCCAGCCTGGTATACAAGAGCCAGTTCCAAGACAGGCTTCAAAGCTACAGAGAAATCCTTCCTTGGAAAAAAAAAGAAAGAAAGAAAAAGAAAAAAGAAACAAACCAAGAACCATTAGCTCAGGCTGACTGTTGGTGGTCATTGCGTTTCTAGTGTCTTACATCTCTGGGTCAAGCACAGTTGAACTGAGAAAGGTTTTGTTCTCAATCCTGCATTAGTTCCAGAGACAGCGGACGAGTATTCCAAAACAGCCCCAGGTTCAGTGCTGATATAGTTTCAGATATGATCGTGTGACTGAAATTCCTCCTTACCTTGTCTGAACATGAATTAAAATTAAAATTTAAGAGACAGCTCATGATGGACAAGGTGAGAGACTACAGAGAGCTATGGGAGGGACCTCAAACAGACATTGGTCACCTCAGACCTACACACAAGTAGGACCAGACCGAGCAACACTGGTAGAACCTAGGAAGGTGCTGAGAACATAAAACAGAACATTATAGCATTAAGACACCTCTTGAGGCACACAAGAGGCCCTGGCCAACCTGAACACATATTCACCAAATGCACCTGGACCAAGACACCTGGACAAGACGCAGGGATGAGATTGGCAAAGATGATACTCGGTGGAAAGACACCAGGGCCTGCCTGGCCATAACCAGGCTCATAACATCTGTAAACTAATTTAGTGTCTCAGCACCCACCTGTGACGTCCAGACGGAAGGAGACCTTCTGTCCCCCCGCCTCGCAGCTGTACTCCCCAGCATCCGCCTTGCCCGCCTGCTGCACCACCAGCCTCCTCTCGCAGCCCGAGGCCTCCACTCGAACCTTGGAGCCAGAGCTCAGCTTCTTCCCGTCCTTGAACCAGGTCACCTCAGTCTGGGCCTGGGCCATCGTGCAGCTCAGTGTGGCACTGGCCCCTGCCTCTGCCTTCACCTCGCTGTGAGCCTGCTGCTCCTTGGCAAATACTGCCTTGGGCTCTGGAGGGAAAACAGGGACACACAATTGCTATAACTAAATAAAAATCTACCTTGGTTCCCAAACTCTGGTGACTCAAGGATCCTATTCTGTTAGTTTTTGATTAAGGTTTTTAACTCTGAGCAGTATATCCATTAACAATTCTTTCAGTAACTTTTTGTGAATGGTAAACTCTCTAAAGATACTTCCTGAACATGTGCTATTTAGCCTTCACTCCTGAATGACAACTTAGCAGGCCATGGAATCTGCGGCTGACAGTTATTTCCCTCAATACTTTGGGCACCATGCCATCATTGCTTTTTTGTTTCTTTTTTCTTTTCTTTTTTTGTAGAAAAGGTTTATTATTCTGTACAAGTTGATATTTAATAAACTATTGGCTACGTGTTACAGTAAATTATCAACCATCTCATTGCAATAGCATTTCCCCACCATTCAGAATCTGGAAGCAATACGCCTTTCTCAAATTATCACTTAGTATTGTCTCCCCCACCTTCAAAACACAGAAATGGGTTTTTGAATAGTAATTAGCCATTTACGGAAGCCACAGGATACAGATAGTCATTACACAAGCCACAGTTGAGGCACCTGGACAAACACTGACAATGGGTGTGGGGAAAGACGTTGGGTTTTAGAAGCAGAAGTATTAAAGGAGTTAGAATATACAGTTCATGCCTTCTGAATCCCAAATGAGGGAAAGCCCCGCTGCCGTCCTGCCAGACGCCATGTAACCAAAACATCATTCCAAGGATCAGGAACCCAAAGTGGACAATGGATTAAAGCTCCCTTATCAATACTATTTTGGAAGCATCATCAGAACAGAGATTTAATGATGAATCAGCCTGGGCTCCCTTCTGAACTGAGAATTTTACTTAGCACTAAGACTCTCAAGCATCCGAGAAAAGCTGTGAATCGGGCTTTATTCCTCCTCAAGGGAAACCGCATAGGCTTGATGACACCTGCTTACCTCCCCACGGCTCTAGTTCTGCTACCAAACAATTCAGTAATTGATCAGAATATTTAAGCAAAAAGGAAAACAAAAGCAGACTTGCAGCAACACATTCTAGACAGATGATACTTTTTTAAAATGTCAAGATAAGGAGTATTACACAGCAGAAAAAAATAATGACACTTTGAAATCTGCAGGCAAATACATGGAGCTAGAAAACATTTTGCGTAAGGTAACCCAGACCCAGAAAGATAATTATCACATGTACTCACTCATAGGTGGTTTTTAAACATAAAGCAAAGAAAACCAGCCCACAAATCACAATCCCAGAGAACTTAGACAACAATGAGGACACTAAGAGAGACATACATAGATCTAATCTACATGGGAAGTAGAAAAAGACAAGATCTCCTGAGTAAATTGGGAGCATGGGGAGAGGGTTGAAGGGGAGGGGAGAGGCAGGGAGGGGAGCAGAGAAAAATGTAGAGCTCGATAAAAATCAATTTAAAAGAGAAAAATATGACAAGATAAATGTAAATCATAAAAATCAAATGTATTCACAAAGGGACACCTATTATACGTTATGTTAAAAAAAAAAAAAAACCTAGAGACTGCAAACTGTGCATGCTTACCATAACATTTCATCTGGGAAAGGGGGTTTCTTGCAAGTATACTGCCATGGCAAAAACAATTATGTGCAAACTGCAAGGTCCCTAATAGCAGTTGAGAGTTTATATGCAGAAAGACGTCACTATCTGATCAAATATGCAAGAGAAAGAAACGCCAGAGATCACAGCACAGAACAGTAACCACCACAGGCTCCCCCTCCGCTGCTCTTCCCTGTGTGACAGTTTGACTCCTTCATTCTGGTCCTCACTTTCCCACAGTCCAGGAGTCTGAGTGATCTTCTCAACAAGTTCCTCAAAGGTACTCTGAACACCATCACAGGCTGTTGCACTTCCCTCTATGAGCAACATGAATGTTTGCGTGCAAATTTCAGGCCTTCATTTCTATCAATGTCATGATTTTCCTTACCAATTTTATTTCCAACTAGCATGGTTACTACGTCGTCTCTTGTACAGAATGTTTCCAGTCCACTTAGCCAATTATCCAGTTTAGCAAAGGTGTCTCCTCTGGGAAGATCATAAACTAATATAACTCCCTGTGCGCCTCTGTAACAGCTGGGAGTTAACGCTCTGAACCGCTCTTGACCAGTTGGATCCCACATTGCAAGTTGAGCCTCATTCCCATCCATTGAAATCATTTCACCTTAAAGTCGACACCGATTGTTGCTGCAAGTTCTGGATCAAAGGTGTCATCTGGGACCTCAGGAGCAGATGGTCAGAGTGGTCAGCACGTCCTCATCCACCCTGTGCCCACTCTACTCAGACCTGTCCCCGTCAGTGTTTCCCGACGGCCTGCGCATGTGCACCTCCGTGACCACCGTTTTTCTGTTTCTTGTCGCCCAAGTCTACACTATACCTCACAACTCCTTCTTCCTTATTTTTCATGCCTCTTAGTGTTGTAAAGTCAACCCTACAGCAGTTCTCAAACCTCAGCCTCCTCTCTGTGCTCAGAGTCACTGTCTCTCCTAACCTCATCACCTCCTGGAGTAAGGAAGAGCCTCATACCTACTCTCCTCGCCTTTGGTCTCTCCTCATCCAAATCAATTCCCCACTTAGTCTCTTAGAAGCTAAATGTATCATCTCCATGTTCCTATCTCCAAGCATCTAAAGAACAGAGGACGCTCCCCTTAGTGGACACCTCCGTGTGTCTTCAAATGCTCCCGGGTGTGTGGGATGGCCCAACAGAATAAGCGTGTGTTTTTGAATGCATTATAAATTTGAAGTTCATTTTCCATTTCTATGATAAGAGAAAATGAAGCATTAGCCCTAGTCCCCTGCCACCAAAAAAAAGGAAGAAGAAAAAGAAGGAGGAAGAGGGGGGAGGGAAGGAAGAAGGAAGGAAGGAAGGAAGGAAGGAAGGAAGGAAGGAAGGAAGGAAGGAAGGAAGGAAGGA